GAAAGGGATTAGTGTTAAAAAAGATATAATTCCCTGAAAATGTCTGAAAATAAACAAGAACTGTGACATTACAAAAGGATCTTGAAAATCAGCTGGACAGACATAGTCATGAATGAAGAGGTGCTGCATATAGTCAATGAAGGAAAACTACATCTGCTGGAAGAAATATTGAAGAGAAAATGGGTCGTAACACAAGAAACCTTTCTGGAGAGGAGCTATGCAAGATTTTTGAAGAGAGCAAGGTAAACAAAAGAAATGGGAGAACATGGTGACAGATGACAGACAGCAGTGATGTAAGGTAGAACATTAACCGGTCCAAAGACAGTATTCTTACTCCAATTGCTGTATTAGTGACATCCCTTGCTGAGACCTCTATTCCTGGCCTGTATAAGCAGATAAGCTGAACTCACTAAACACCTTTTTCTCATCTACGGATCTTTTATTGTAATGCAGAAAGTACAGCAGACAACAAGATGTAGCAGATGAATGAAAAGACGGATTTGCAGGTCAAAACATGGTAATGTGTCCCCGGATGTGAGCAGCCTACATGTGGACTAGAGACAAGCGGCCATATTCATCCCAAGAAGACAGTGAAGAAGGAAGAGGAAATGCATCACTAGCTAGTGGGAGGGGATACGATGGCAGACAGAAGAAAGAAGGTGCCATAATCAAAAAACCCACAAGATGGCAGTATATTAATATTAACCATAGCTAATGTATGCATTGCATTAAATTGTTATAGGATAAGTGTAACAGCACAGACAAGGCCCACTGAAAATCGAGGGTTGGTGGTCCACAACGCTGAATGATAAGCTTCTCTCTGCTTTGCTTCTCCTCACAGCAGAGTATCAGAATCCACAATAAAGTTTGATAAAACCCTTGAAATATACTGTATATAGTAGGCTCTAAACCAGACCTTGCAGTCCAAAAAAATCTCTTCTTATCTAGTATTATTATTATTATTATACAGGATTTATATAGTGCCAACAGTTTGCTCAGCGCTTTACAACAATAAATGTCCCCACTCCCTCTTCCTTGCTAAAATGCCAAATTAAAAAAACTAGAGAGAAAAGGAGTTACAATTCACATACCTTTCATCCAACTTTCATAGTGCAGAGGGTAACCTCATCATCCTGGGGAATAGTACTCCTAATCATGGAGAAGACACTACACCACAGTGCAGACTCATTTTCTTGCAAAATTTGGGCTGCTAAACATTCCCAGGGTTCTTTCCAAATGATAATGACTTCACCCTTACCTAGGTATTACAGGTATTTTATGCAACCTTTCCCCCATAGGTTTTGTTTTGCAGTTTAATGCAACATTTTAGCGAACAAAATACTAAATAAATACATAGTAATAATAATAACTATTATTAACAATAATTGTTAAATAATAATTAACTGATAATAATGAAATGATAATTTAGGCCAAATAAGCAGCTCTCAGTGCTTTTTTTATTCTACTCTCTACTTATCTCTACTTGGATCAGAATGAACCAGGAAAAGAGGGTATTGAGGTGAATGACACAAAACATACAGTGGGGATCGAAAGTTTGGGCACCCCAGCTAAAAATTTGTATTAATGTGCATAAAGAAGCCAAGGAAAGATGGAAAAATCTCCAAAAGGCATCAAATTACAGATTGGACATTCTTATAATATGTCAACAAAAGTTAGATTTTATTTCCATCATTTACACTTTCAAAATAACAGAAAACAAAAAAATGGCGTCTGCAAAAGTTTGGGCACCCTGCAGAGTTAATATCTTGTACTGCCCCCTTTGGCAAGTATCACAGCTTGTAAACGCTTTTTGTAGCCAGCCAAGAGTCTTTCAATTCTTGTTTGAGGTATCTTTGCCCATTCTTCCTTACAAAAGTCTTCCAGTTCTTTGAGATTTCTGGGCTGTCTGTCACGCACTGCTCTTTTAAGGTCTATCCATAGATTTTCAATTATGTTGAGGTCAGGAGATTGTGAAGGCCATGGCAAAACCTTCAGTTTACGCCTCTTGATGTAATCCCCCGTGGATTTCGAGGTGTGTTTAGGATCATTATCCATTTGTAGAAGCCATCTTCTCTTTATCTTCAGCTTTTTCACAGATGGCATCAAGTTACCATCCAAAATTTGCTGAAATTTTATTGAATCCATTTTTCCTTCTACTCGTGAGATGTTCCCTGTGCCACTGGCTGCAACACAACCCCAAAACATGATTGATCCAACCCCATGCTTAACAGTTGGACAGAGGTTCTTTTCATTAAATTCTGTGCCCCTTCTTCTCCAAACGTACCTTTGCTCATTCCAGCCAAAAAGTTCAATTTTAACCTCATTGGTCCACAGAACTTGTTTCCAAAATGCATCAGGCTTGTCTATATGTTCATTTGCAAAGTTCAAACGATGATTTTTGTGGTGAGGACGTAGAAGAGGTTTTCTTCTGATGACTCTTCCATGAAGACCATATTTGTACAAGTATCTCTTTATAGTGGAATAGTGTACCACAACTCCAGTGTCTGCCAGATCTTTCTGGAGGGATCGTGCAGTCAAACGTGGGTTTTGAATTGTTTTTTTCACAATCCTGAGAGCTGTTCTGTCTGATAATTTTCTTGGTCTTCCAGATCTTGCTTTAACTTCCACTGTTCCTGATGACTGCCATTTCTTAATTACATTCCGAACAGAGGATAATGACATCTGAAAACGCTTTGCTATCTTCTTATAGCCTTCTCCAGCTTTGTGAGCGTCAACTATTTTCAGTTTCAGTTTTCTAGACAACTGCTTAGAAGAACCCATGGTGCTGATTGTTGGGGCAAGGTCAGATGAGTCTGGGCATTTAAAACCTTTGAGATTGACATAACCTGGTCTTCCCAGACGATGATTGAGAACAATCCATGACACTGGCAGGTCTCAGCTTGGCAAAGGGGGCAGTGCATGCTATAAATTCTGCAGGATGCCCAAACTTTTGCAGACGCCATTTTTTTGTTTTCTGTTATTTTGAAAGTGTAAATGATGGAAATAAAATCTAACTTTTGTTGACATATTATAAGAATGTCTAATCTGTAATTTGATGCCCTTTGGAGATTTTTCCATCTTTCCTTGGCTTCTTTATGCACATTAATACAAATCTTTAGCTGGGGTGCCCAAACTTTCGATCCCCACTGTAAGTGTAGCACTACCCCATTGAGAACCGCTGGTTTTGGGTCCCCCTTATTTCCTGCACAGCCAGGCAACACACATTTTCCAACTTGTGTCCAGACACAAAAAGTCAATGGGCTTAGTTTTTTTGTATTTATTAGGGAATTCAGCTTTTCCCAAAGGGTATATGGGATGCCCAACTTGACTAGCAGAACAAAAATGAGAACACTTCCTTCTCTCACACTTCAACAGTCTTCAGAAAAGTAATCCTCTCCTTGGAGACTGGTGGAGTCTGGTGTCTCCTCCAGAGTGGATTTTAGCAAAGTCCCAACTCGTAGCAGTTCTTGGTCTCCTTAGTAAAAAAATACCAGCCCGCCTGGCCACGATATCTGATCCCAAGGCAAAGGATTGGGTGAGCAATAAACTGATGAAGAAAAACAATTTAAAGAGATGTAGCACCCTCCAAGTTTAGAGTAGGCTTCTAGACAAATGTGGTTTAGCTCCCCTGTAATCAGAGAATCAGGGGTGTATTGCTTAGGGATGCTGTTAGTTGTCCCTGTCTCCTAGAGACTTTTAGAACACAGTGGGAGGAAGGACAGAGTATGTAGCCTGAATATTTATGGAACTCCAGCCAATCCCAGTATAGGTGTGAGTATGGGGGAGAGCCCATAAATAGCCTGAGGCCTGAGAAGCAGGGGCAGTGTCCCTGGGTCCAGATCTGCAGGAGTAGACCCCTGTTGAGATTCGCTGCCAGCTTGGGCAGAAGTCTGGGAGGAACCCAGCCTGAAGACACCGAGTTCCCAGTTAGGCTTAGCTGCTGGGGCCTATTCACAAATCCAGCCCAAGGATCCAGTTGGGTCGGGAGAAGCTCAGGGAAGAGCTAAGAGAAAGCTGCCCAAGTTGTCCAGAGGCAGTGTGAGTCTACATCTCCCTCACTAGGAACAGCTCTTCCTGGTGGATATCAGCAGGAGGCAACCAATGATCCTGTGGCTAAGTGAGTACAAGTAACCCAGTGCTGCAAGTGTGACTATGTGGTGCTTTGGGACTCTGGGAGGAGTACAAGTCACAGACAGCCTAGAGATCTTGTGGGACATTACATTTTGAAAATGTATCCAGCAGTTGTGCAATACAGCTGGGAACTGTGCACTGCAAAACCACTAGGAGTTATGTAGAGCAGGCAAATGTCAAGCAGTCCTCAAGATGTTTTTTTCAGTTCCAGGGTATCCCATGCTCCTTATCCCTATCCAAGTCCATTGTTCCTCAATAAAAACACAAAAAAAACCTTTGAGCCAGAGGAAGAATGTCAAAACTCCTGTGTTTCTGGCTGTGTGCTCTAAGGGGGAACTAGGACTCCAATCACCAATGGCTCTTTAGTGTGTGCACTACACAAGTCTAAAACCCTAAATATTACTATCCCCTCTATTAGGATACAAGCATTAGGGACACATTTTCCTTTTAATGTGTTACTAAACCCAGGACCCTGCATTCATTATATCTAGTCTTCCACAGTACACAGAACATGGAAATGCAATTATTTTTAGTAAATATAAACTGCTAAATACCTTTTCTCATCAGCAGTTAGAGCAGTCTTGTGACCTCAGCAGAGCACTGACTTGTAGGAGGAATTTTATTTCTGCTCTAGGAGGATGCAGAACCCCTGACCTCTGTCTGGACAGTGCTGATTGGCCCTGTGCTGATCACATGCACTCTCCCAAGAAAAAAAAACCTCTCTAGCAATACACACTAAACTGAGCATGTGCAGAAGGGCTATGGGTACAGTCCAGGGGCGGATTGACAACTCATGGGGCCCCCGGGCAATAGGGGATCATGGGTCTCCAGTGTCCTTGCCCAAACTCAAAAAAGCCTATGAAAAAAAGGTACCAGGGGCATCTCATGGGGCCCCCTACTGACCCTGGGCCCTCGGGTAGTGCCCGAGTTTCCAAATGGTCAGTCCACCCCTGGTTCAGTCTGTCTTATCAGCGTGGACATTTGAACAAGAGGAGAGGCAGATAAGACAGGATCAAACAGCCTTTTTATACAATGCAGAGGATTAACCCCTGAGGTTCCACAGTGAGTATAACAAGCATGCTTTACTGCATATACTATTGTGGGTTTTAGTAACACTTTAAGATAGACTTTTTTTCAGCTTCACTTTAACACCAAACTGTAATTGCTTTTTATTCTAAACATTTTTTTTTGTTTTTTTACTGAAGTTTCTGAAAGAACATTGCACAATCAGCAAAGCATACACTAAGCTGAGCCAAATCTAGAGCTGAATGTGGCACAACCTAGAAAAAAATATTTTGAGCTCTATTATGCTCCATGGCTCTCATCATTCAGCCTGCCTTATTAAAGGATCATGTGATTGCACCTAATTACACAAAAGCAAGCGATTTCTAAGATCATTGGGCCCCCTGCCCACAAGTCAATGGGCACACTGCCGTTCTTTCACTTTTCCCCTATTTTCCAGCATTTTGGCAGAATCAGGCACAATCTCCTATTAACCACTAGAGGTAATGAACTCATTAATAGAGTGTTTTAAAATTTATAGAAGTTTCCCAAAATAGATCCAAGAATGTGTTTGTTTATCCAAAGGCTGTGCTACGTTACTGGCTGCATCCCACTTACTGTCAAAAAGACTGTTGATACGGCTATATTGCTGGTCCCTGCGGCAGTGAAGTGGACTGAAATATTACTAGAATATGCTTTTTGAAATAAATAGACCTTCTGTGAGTACAATAGCTGCAGGCTTTTGCTGAGATCAGAGGGATTGAGTTATTGAATAGATACTTAAATGTCCCTCCTAGTAAAAATATACCCTTTCCTCCTGATTAGATGCCTCAACAAACAATGTATGAGAACATTAGCCATGAAAAATAAAACATTAGGCATAAGTGGAAGGGGAATACAGATTATGAGGGTATTTTTTTACAGCGGGAATGCAGGGGAATGACGTTCCGGCACCTCCAGCACTGAATGTATGTAGTAGCAAGAGGTGCTGGGATGTGCTGAAAGTCCTATTGATACTGGCCGCTGGTGGATCTATTGTCACTGGAGGGGATCTAATTTTGCAAGGCGGTATATTGTTGCTGGTGGGGAATCTTTTGTTGCTGGAGGGTCCACCATTGCTGGAAAGGATCTACTATTGTGGGAGGATCTATTGTTGCTAGTGGGGGGTCAATTGTTGCTGGAAAGAATCTGATGTTGAGTGAGGGTCTATTGTTTCTGGCTACTGGAAGATCTGCTGTTGCTGCTGGGGGTCTATTGTCGTTGGGGTGGTATTTTGTTGCAGGGGTCCATTGTTGTTGGGGGGAGGGGGCTCTATTGCTGTTGGCTGTAGGGGATCTACTTTACTGCTTTTCTTGTTATCATTAATAAATTCCATACAGATTATTTAGCACCACAAAATGATCCTTGCATTCTGTATTCTCTTAAAGGGGGGGTACTGGGAAGTGGGCAAGGGGTGGAACCAAGGGACGGTACTCGTAGGTGGGTACAGGGTGGAACCAAGGGATGGTATTCAAAGGTGGGTATGGGTGGAGAGAAGAAGTGACTTGGAGTAGTGACCACCAGGACTTTATTCAGTGGGAACACAGGGGACCACAGTTCTGGCACCTCCAGCATTGATTGTATGTAATATCAAAGGGTGCTGGGGTGTGCTGTCAGGCTAATTGATGCAGGCTGCTGGCGGATCAATTGTTACTGGAGGGGATTTATTTTTGCAAGGTGGTCTACTGTTGCTGGTGGGAGATCTAGTGTTGCTGGAGGGTCCACTGTTGCTGGAAATGATCTACTGTAGAGAGAGAATCTATTGTTGCTGGTGGGGTCAATTGTTGGAAGGGATCTGCTGTTGAGGGAGGGTCTATTGTTTCTGGCTGCTGAAAAATCTGTTGTTGCTATTGGGGGTCTATTGTTGTTGGGGTGGTATTTTGTTGCAGGGGTCCATTGTTATTGGGGAGGGGGGCTCTATTGCTGCTGGCTCTGGGGGATCTACTTTACTGCTTTTCTTGTTATCATTAATAAATTCCATACAAATTACTTAGCAACACAAAATGATTTTTAGTTCTGTTTTCTCTAAAAGGGGTGGTACTGGCAGGTGGGTAGGGGGTGAAACCAAGGGACGTTACTTGGAGGTGGGTAGGGGGTGGAGACAAGAAGTGACTCAGAAGGGTGTGTTCCTGTACCTATTCTCAGAAAATAGCCTTGTAGATTATAGATGGATTATTGGTTATTATTTGTGCTCTCTTATATATTAAATGTATTGGTTTGCCTAGCTATAACAAAAATTAGTTGCCAGATAAAAAAAGGTAAAAGGTAAAATATTTTCTCCGAATTACTTTCAGTCCCTGACTCATTGCATTGTACCTCCCGAGGGACTAAATCTTTGTGCTACTTGTATACTGCCCAGAGCTTTAAGCCCTTTTTTCAACTCCGAGACGAATTTAATCTTCCCCTTCTTATTTGTTCCATTACTACCAATTACACCATGCTTTTACAGACACAATTTGGGTCGCTGACAGCTCCGCTATCCTATGCTTCCCTTGAAAAACATCTGCAAAGGCCTGATCCATTAAAATATTTTCTCTCTGTTGCTATCACCACTGTGCGATCCATCACTGTTCACCTGGAGGGTTGAGTGATGCCCAGTGTCATCCAATCCATCTCCTGTAGATCAGGACGTCATGGGCACATTCACACCAAATAATTTCAAATTAAAGTGTTTCTAAAGCCTGAAATTCTCTTCATTAAGATAAAATACTTTCTGTGCCCATTATCCCCTCACCCCATCCCCCTCCAGCCCTCTGTTATACTTACCTGTGCCTGATCTTGATCCAGTGCTGTGCCCAAGAGCAGCAGCTCTCTCTGTTCTCTCCCACTTTCCAGGGCAGACTGATAGCAGCAGGAGCACGGGCCAAACCCAGCATTCCTTGTCTATGGACACAGGCAGCTGGGCTCAGGAGAGATCCCACACAAGTCCCCCTATAAGAACTGGCTTCCTATGTGGGTACTCACCCAAAAGGAGTAGTCAGGAGCATTGGTGGAGGACCTCAGAAGAGGAATGGGGCTTTTCTGTGCAAAATCATTGCACAGAGCAGGTAAGTATGACATGTTTGTTATTAGAAAAAAAATCTAGGGGAGAGGATAAAGGAGATATACTTATGTAATGCTCCGATCCCCCCAGCAAAAAAACAGTCTGGCACTCCAGTCATCTTGAGGTGTGGATTGTTCCTAATGTCATCAAGCCCAGAGCAGGCCCCATAGACCAGGTGCAGTCCATCACTGGACAGTGGGGGAGAGCAGTTTTCCAGTGGATCAAAGGATCAAGTGAGTATAAGCTTTCTGCTCATCCCTAGACAAAATAAGCAGTTGACCCGTGCAGTGCGAACACAGTCAGACTGTATGGGAAAACTTTTTTCTTTGCCCACGGCTGGGCTTAAAAGGTTTAGATTCTCTTTAAGAGGAAACAGCCAGCCTGCATGTTGTATATCCCGCTGAATGGTTTACTGAAGCCCTATAATGGCAAGAAAGTTACACCAACATTTCTAGGGTATGGCGGCAGTCAAGGTAACAACCGTGTAACTTCCTTCTGGTATGTCGCATAAGTAATCCTTTCATCACAATCTACAATCAGGGGCGGACTGACCATTTGGAAACTCGGGCAACTGTTGTAAAGAAGTCTGTGTCATGAAGTTTGATTTATTGCCATGAAATAATTTCAAACGTGCTCTTTTCAAGTAACCAGTCATGGATTTTTATGAAAGCCAATCTGTTGTCTAATGTCCATATTTGTTGCGCATTCAACACTAAAAATGAGGATTTTAGGCTGAAAAATCTTATCATTTCTGTGAACAGTGTGGTGTTTGCAAACAAATGAGTTTAAATTCTGTCTTGCCTTGATTTGACTTTTTGATTTAAAGCACCACTATGAGGAGAAAAATATTTGTAGAACTCAACACTGCCAATGTTCTGGTTTGTCTCAACCACTGTCATTTATGCTGGACAGCTGCATGTAAAAGTGAAAACAATTATATAAAGGAAGAGGAAAGAAGTTATACACTCAATACTACCCATACTACTGCTGTGCCATCATACTGCAAGTATGATGGCACAGCAGTGTTGGGATGTAGACATGCGTTAGCCTCCTATGGGTCCAGGACATCAATCAACAGTGTCATGATGGTGAGCAGAGGGGAGACTACAAACATCCATTTTTCAATATCCCTTAGAAGCAATCTCTGAGCACTTTCTGTTTCGTAATGGTCAGATCCTGTCAATACAATGGTTGGACCACAATGAAATGTTAAAAATATAAATGGAATGTTTTATTCCAAAACATGCATTGAACTCAATAGTCAACACGTTTCAGGAGCTTTACTCCAACCACTTCATCAGTGCTGATCTACCTTTAGCACCCAGTGAATGTGGCCAGTGTGCTACATGTATTGAAATAAAACCTTCCTTTTGGATTTTAACGTTTCAGTGTGCCAAAATTTTGATCCAACCATTGTACCTGAGGTCCCTGCGTGTATGGAAACAGCCTACATATCACCCAGGTGTCCCATTGGGATAACAGTAGTAGAGTATTGTAATTATACCAATCATAGGTACAGAGGAACATCACTTAGGGTCCCAGAGGCAGTCTATCTTGACAAAGATCCTGTCAATGTGGCCAGGAAAACAGATAACTGAGTACAGTCTGTACTTGATTAGACTGGGGAATATGGGAAATGTGCAGAGGAGGCATTAAAGGTCCAGGAGACCCTGATGCCTCTGTAAAGGTTACCTATCACATAGGGGGTTTGTCAGTCTTCTTGTGATAGCATTGAATTGTGCACGCTGTAATGAAAGGAATAATTCTATTGTTTCTGATCATGGTTAAAACTAAAATGATGAACTGTAACTTTTTAAAGTGTCACCTATGGAAAATGTTGGGTATAGTAGTTTGTTGCACACTTCATACCCACACATAATTTTAAGTCTTGACACAATTTGCATCTATTTATTCAGCCGAGTCTCTGCTTTTATAATTTACAGAAAATTTGGAAAATGTATTATGTTTGTGTACATTA